AGCTGTTCCTAAAGGAAATCAACCCTGAATATTCATTGGAAGGACTGATACTGAAGCTGAAGCTCCAATAGTTTGGCCTCCTGATGCAAAGAGAAAACTCATTTGAAAATACCCTGATAGTGGGAAAGATTGAGCGCAGGAGGAGTCAGGAGCAACAGAGGATGAGATGGTTGGTTGGCATCACTGACTCAATGGACATGAGTTTGAGCAAACTCCAGGAAACAGTGAAGGAGAGGGAAACCTGTTGTGCTGCAGTTCATGGGGTCACAAAGAGTTGGACACAACTTAGCTACTGAACAACAAATATGTCATTCTCATTTCTTCTCTTGTCTTTCCCTTGAGCAGGTCCAGATTCATCCTATATCTTCTTACATATTCCTTCTGCCTTATGGATTTCCTTTTTTGTTTTTGGTAATGCTATTCCTCTGTTGATTTATTATTTCAGTTTTTGTATGTTTGGCAAGGTCTTTATTTTGCTATCATTTTTGAAAGATACTTAAATTGTGTTAAGAATTCTAAGGTAATGTTTTTGCTTGAGTACTTTAATATCTGACCTATTGTCTTGTTGCTTCAAATAAGATGGGTGTTTCTGCCCATCTGTACATAATGTATCATTTTTTAATCTCCTTTTTAAGATTTCTTCTTTTTTCCCCTCAGTTTTCAGGAATTTGACTATGGTATGCTTTGGTCTGTTTTTTTCATGTTTCCTGTGCTTGGATTTCCTGGAACTTTTTGTATCTGTAGGTTAGATTTTAAACTTTTTAGTGTAGATTTATAGATTTTAATGTTTTTATTGCTGTTTAACAGTATTACACAAGTTAATAGTTTCTAACAGCACACATTTTTTATTTCACACCTTTTGTGTGTTGAAGTCAAGGAAGCCTTAGCTGGGTTTTCTGCAAGATTGCAATCAAGGTATTACCCAAGGATATAGACTCATTTGGGCTTTCCAAGTGGCACAGTGGTAAGGAATCTGCCTGCCAATGCAGAAGATGCAAGAGATGTGAGTTCAATACCTGGGTTGGGAAGATTCCCTGGAGAAGGAAATGGCAACCCACTCCAGTATTCTTGTCTGGAAAACTCCATGGACAGAGGAGCCTGGTGAGCTATACAGTCCACGGGATTGCAAAGAGTTGGACACAACTGAGCACACACACATGTAAACTCACTGAACCTCAACTAGGAGAAGAATCACTTTTAAGCTTATGTAGTTGTTGGTAGAATTTAATTCCTATGGTTGTAGGACTGAATATTTTAGTTTCTTTTCGGCTGTTGGCCAGATACTACCCTCAATAATTTGCCTCAATAACTTTAGGTCCTTCTAAAGTGGCCAACAGCATCATCAAATTTAGCAAGGGAGAGAGCCTCAGAGTGGGACAAGTGCCATAATCCTATGTAACATAATCACATAAGTGACATTTAATCACTCTTGCCACATTCTGTTGGTTAAAACAAGTTGCATGACCCATTCATACAAGGGGAGTTCACATAGAATTGTGAACAACAAAGGGTAGAGACAATAGGCCCAACTCTGAAACTGTATGTCATACCTGGTAAGGTTTTAATTGGAGGTCAGACATTGTAAATATTACTTTGTTGAGACTTGGATTTTTCTGTATTCTATATTCCTCAATTTTATTTTGAGACTGAGTTAAGTAATCTGGAGATAATATTGTTCTTTGGGGTCTTGCTTTTAAATTTCTAATAGGTAGAACCAGACATTTATTCCAGGACAGCAAGCAAGTTTTCTGGGGGCAAGTTTTCTCCCAGAGGACATCTGGTAATGTCTAAAGACATTAATACACTGAGAACTGTTGCTACTGGCACCTAATAAGCTGAGGCCAAGGATGCTGTTAAACATTCTATAATGTGTACACTGAGGAGTTACTCCAAAATAGAAATACCACTAAGTGAGAAATCCCAATGTATATGAGGCACTTAGGACAATATTTTGCACTAAATATGTTTTTAGTAGTACTGAAGTTAAGAAATGCAGGTCTACAGCTAAATCTGGCTCAATGTTAACACAAAATCCTTAGACTATCTGTAAGTTATTTATCTTACAGATTATCTGTAAGTAAATTATGTGGTTTTATTCTTTGGGGAAAACAAGAAATATTTCTAGGCAAATGTGAGCTCTAGATATTTTTCTCTCTAATCCTTAAAATGGTTCTTTTCATGACCCTGGGACATTCCTCACACATATATGCTTGTGAATACTAAAAAGTCTATAAGAACACCTTCCAAAGATCTCTAGAAATCTGTCTCTGGTTAACCCTGTTATTTGGCTGTGCAAACTTCAGCCACTGTATCCTCCCTGGATTCCCAGCCCTGTCTTCTCCTGTCAGGGACATCGCTGGGTTCTCACTCCAGTCAGCCGGGCAACTAGTTAGCAGCTAGCTGGGTGAGTGTAGGGCTTATCTCAATGCTTCTCTCCTTTAAGGAATTACTGTCCTTTATTGCCAGGTCTTGGAAATCAAGATGTCTTAAAAATTAACTGTCACTTTACATCAATCATTTTTATTTTTAGTTGAAATGTAATGTAACATTTATATTTGTTTCAGGTATACAACATAATGATTTAATATCTGCATGCCTTGTGAAATGATTACCACAATACATTTAGGTAATATCCCTCACCACATATTAATAAAATTTATGTGTGTGGTGAGAACTTTTTGAGATTGCTTTCTTAGCAACTTCCAATATACAATACTGTATTGTTAACTGTTATCATTGTGCTATGCATTAATTCCCAAGACATATTTATCTTGTAACTGGAAATTTGTAACTATTAACCACCTTCACCCATCCCTCACCACAAACCTCTGGCAAACACCAATCTGTTCTTGATATTTAATATAAGATTTTTTCTTAGATTTCACATGCAAGTGATATCACACAGTGTTTAACTTTCTCTATCTGACTCATTTCCCTAGGCATAACACCCTCAAAGTCCATTCATGTTGTTGTAAATACAAGAGTTCCTTCTTTTCTATGGCTGTATTATTCCATTCTCTCTCTCTCTCTCTCTCTCATTGTTTCTAGCTGGAGGGTAAATCTGGTCCCACTTGCCCCATCTAGGTCAGAAGGGGAAGCATTGCATTTCTCTGAATTTTTTGTTTTGTATTAGATGTCTTGTACGAGGGAACAGTAGAGACAGTGTCCTCCTATCTAAGGGTCTTGGCTAGTTGTTGCCTTAGATGCTACTTTGTTGTTTTTTAGTCACTAAGTTGTGTTTGACTCTTTTGCGACACCATAGACTGTAGCCCACCAGTCTCCTCTGTCCATGGGATTTCCCAGGCAAGAATACTGGATTGGGTTGCCATTTCCTTCTCCAGGGGATCTTCCCAACCCAAGGATCAAACCCACATCTCCTGCACTGGCAGGCAGATTCTTTACCACTGAGTCATCTGGGAAGCCCAGCTGCTATTTTAGTCAGTTTCAATTCCTTACTGGTTGAAAATACAGGCACTGAATTCCAAATTATTTTACTTTTAAAATATCATGGCTATTACAGTGCATATTTAATAAAAAAACAAAATGGACATATAAAACATCACTCTCTGTCATAAATCCCTCGGTTACTCACCCAGATGCAAAATCTTTTAAGATTTAGTGTATTTTTCTCCTTCTTTTTCTTTCTCTCAGTGTGTGCATGTGGACACTACACATCTCCACATTAGAGTTTGGCTACCTGTGAGTTTTTGGTGTCATGTAAATTACTTCACTGTCAACTTTCTCGTTTTGATATTTTGTTAAAACTTGCTTCAAAGGACTATTTTGTTACCAATTCTTAGTAAATCTGTTATTTTAAACTTTTCCCATCTCTTAATTAATACTTTATTTCCTTATATGGTTCCTTTGCATAATAAAATGTACCTTAATTCATTGCAAGGACATTGGAAAGCAATCAAATATAGTAGGAAACATCTATTTTTAATCACCTCTAGAAACTAGTACCACTAATTGTGCTTTGTTAAATAGCCGTTTAAATTAAAATGATTATCTTGTAACTAAATTTTGATCTGCCTTTGTTAAAACTTGAAAAATCAAATGTCTGTATCCATTGACTTCTGATGAATTATAGTTTATGAAGCTCATTACTAAAACTGTGAACTCTTTCTTGCTCATAGTTTTATTCAAATCTTAGTATTCATAAATGAGGATGCTGAGGCAGAGAGAGGTAGAGGAGCTGGCTTGAGGTCTTCTTATTGCCAAGTGGCAAGTCAGGATTAAAACACAAGGGATCTGTCTCCAGTCTGTGCTCGTCCAGGGAAAAGTAGCTCTGAAATAAGGAAAAGCAGCATGATAGAACAGGAGGAGCCCAGAACAGGGAGTTTACTGCTTTTTAAATGTGTAAAAGCAACTTACCCTCTCTGGGTCTGGTCTTCTGATCTGTAAAACTGGAGAGGTTTGGTTTAAATTAGAGATTTGCAAACTTGTCCTGTATAAGACAGTATAATATTTTAGGTTCTGCAGACCATTTCACAACTATAAACTCTACTGTTATAGGATGAAAGCAGCCACAGACAATACGGAAGTAAATGAGCATGGCTATGTGTCAACAAAACTTTATTTACAAAAAACATGAGGCAGACTGGATTTGGCCCATGGGCTGTAGTTTTCCCTGCTCTCATCTATAATAATATTAAAAGTTATTTACTTTCTTCCAATGTTTCCTGAGGCAGAACATCATAACAAGAAAAGTGATCCTAGATTTTATGTTTTAAATTTCCAATTAACTGTTTCTTAGATTAGAACCATAACGCAAGTTACTCAAAATTCCGGTTTGGAAATCACAGCATTGTCATTCACTAGGTTACATGATTCTGATCGGGTCATTTGACTATTCTGAGACTTGGTTTCTTTGCAGAATGCCAATGATGATATTTAACGTATGTAAAATACGTTTGTGGGGATTAAGTCAGATAATATTTGTGAGTGTGTTTTGAAAATATCACTTTCACGGTATTTGTTCTGTGTTGACTCTCCCACAGGAGTACCAGTTCATGATAGGGCTCAGTAATGGTATGCTCTGGGCATCTTATTTTGTCACGTTCCTTCTGATGTTTTCAATTATCGTCTGTATACTGTGCGTGGTTTTATGTGCCAAGGCAAGTATCTGTTTGAATGCATCACTCTGCAGCTACACTTTGAGAGGGATAAAATAATTGTGGGTGGGAGCTGCATGGGTTTTAGGTTGCAGAATAATAGATGTGTTTATCATTGACCCTCTGGGGAATTCAGAAGCTGCTCAGTCTATCAGCAGACACAAACCATTGATCCCTTCTGTGGGAAATGAGCTATTTAGTTAAATTTTGCCATTTCACTTGGGGGTATGGAAATGTTTTAAGGCTGTTTTATTTCACCTCCTTGTTTTCCTGTGACACCACTTCGAGTGTGACTAAACTGGCTTCACAATTGTATTGTAGATTGCACCTATAGTTGTCCTCAAAAACAGCGACCCATCCCTCATCTTTGTCTTTTTCCTGTGTTTTGTCACGGCCACCATAACCTTCGGCTTTCTGATTAGCACATTCTTCAATAAAAGTGAGTACAAGACTCCTTCCGTGAAACATTTTAACTGTTTCAGTTGACTAAAAGAGGATTTTATATGGTAGTTTCTTTTAAGTTTTAGTTGCCACTTCATATAGAGCCTCTGCTTGCATTCTAAATTTGTCTAAAAACATACATGTCATATAAACGTGAAATGATTTGAGAGGAGGGGCAAAAATTAGTGACAATTAATATATTAATAGCATAGGATGCATGGGAAAAGAGAATAAAAATCAACATAAGATCACATGTGACAAGAGGATATAAACTAAAATAGGGTCATGTGAAAACATTCATTTATTCATTCACTCACTCAGTGAAGTCTTTGGATCACTTATCACATACGTCGAACATTATCAAATATACCACAAACAAATGAGAATTTTCTGCCCTGTTCTCACAAGAGGGATGTGTGACTGAATAAATTCAAACTGGCCTAGTTAGGGAATTTGTAGAATTGCTCCTCCTGTGGTCATTTTCTATTATTTATTTTAAAAATAAGTAAATTTTGTTTTTCAGAAAACAAACCTTCACCATTTTTTGGCTTTTATATCTATTTTACATGCTGCAATTAAAATATTGCCTTCTTTCAACCATGTAGGGCACAAGTACCATGAAGCAAATGTATTATGGTAGAGAAATTTGTATTTTTATTGTTTTCAGCAGCAACACTGCTATTGGCTTGTTCTTACAAAATAGAGCAAAATAACTACCCTCTACCACAGAGCACAGGAAAGCTATGGGTGGAGAGAATTATGTCAAAGTAAGCCTGAAGATAGTGGCAGTGTTTCAGTCACTAAGTTCTGTCTGACTCTTGCCACCCCGTGCTCTGTAGCCTGCCAGGAGTCTCTGTCCATGGGATTTCCCAGGCAGGAATACTGGTGTGTGTTGCTTGAAGGTGACATGCCAAAGAGTAACATAAAGTAGGCAAATATCAATGAATGACTTACTTGCCTAAAACAAGCATACCCCTGAGTCGGAAAGATCCCCTGGAGAAGGAAATGGCAAGTCATTCCAGTACTCTTGCCTGGGGAATTCCATGGACAGAGGAGCCGGGCAGACTAGAGTCCATGGGATCGTAGAGTCAGACACAACTGAGCAACTAGCTTTCAAACTTTTCATCATACAAATCACTCTAACCCAGATGACTCTCTTTGATGATTTTGTTATCAGTCTTTTTAATGTATTTTTATAAAATATAATAAATTAATTTTTGAAATATAAGACTGAGAGTATTTAGAAAGTGACTAAAGCTTTTCAGTTTCAAAAGTTCCAAAATAAATGGTAATCAGGTAGGTATATTCTTATATGTGATGAGGGATGCTATACTTCTAGAGGTTATTAAGCTAAGTGGCCATAAATAAAAAATAAAAAGGCAGGATTTTATAAACGTAAGGATCAATTCTTCTTTAAAGAAGTAAATATCCACATTATTGTATAAGAAAGGGCAAATTCCAGAAAAGTTCCTTCCTCATGCTACTCATCCATTCATTCAAGCAAGCAAAGTATTTGTTAAACAACTACTTTCTGTTAAACACTGCTTAAATGCTGATGATACAGTAGTGAACAACACTGGTAACACAATGGTGAACAAGGCAGACAGTTTCTCTTCTAGAGTTTACATTTTAGAGCTCTTTTGTAGTAAAATAGGGGTATTTCTACTTCAAGATTTTGTATGTTATGTACTGACTATGTTTTCCATCTTACATTTCAGCTGCACTGGCTGTTTCTATTGGAGGTTTCCTCTTTTATCTTACCTTCTTTCCATTTATAATAGTCATCACCGTGTATGGAATGTTGAGCCACACGGGGAAGCTGGCTTCCTGTCTCATTTCAAATATTGCAGTAGCTTTGGGGATTACTACTATAAGCAAGATGGAAATGAAGGGTGGGTTTTCTCTTTGTAAAAAATTTACTTTGATGATTTAATTCCTAGGAAGAAAATGTAGGTGATCTGGGATTGGCAGTATAGTAAGTGGAAAGTGGGTAAAAGGAAACTTTAGTGTCTCTTAAATATTCTTCCTGGTTTGTACTATTTTTATCATAAAAATTATACACTATACATGTATACAGTATATATAAATTTATACATGAAATATGTACATGTAAATATATATACAAATGTTTGTTTTCATGCCTTTATATCAGTGACCTATCTGGGGGAAAAATTGGCTACCTAGGGAACGTTGACAATGTCTAGAGATATTTCTGGTTTCTAATTGTCATAACTGGTGGAGGAGTGCTACTGATATCTAGTGGGTAGCAGTCAGAGATGCTATTAAGCCTCCCACAGAGTACAGGACTGCCGCTGATATAATTATCTAGCTCCAAATGTCAATAGCACCAAAGCTGAATACATTGTGTTCAATATCTATATGTTAAAATATATGAGTTCACACTGTTACATCTAGTTTCAATTTAATATCAATTTCCTAGCAATCCAGTGGTATGGACTCTGCATTTTCACTGCTGAGGGCCTGATTTGATACCTAGCTGGGGAACTAATACCCCACAAGTCATGGAGTTCTTCCTGCAAAAATAAGTTCTTCCTACCTTTTTCGGTTTCTTATATTTATTTCCCTTTCTAACCATGAGAAATCTGACCCCCACCATTGCTAAAATAACTATTAAGTTGCTCAATTTTGCAATACTCATAAATGCTTACAGAAATGTTTATCTACTCCACTGTAAAGAACTAACATTTTAAGTATAGCAATTGCTTGCAAATCTTTTTACATTTAATCTGAGTCTAGGTAGTCAAAGTACTGTGTTCAAAAATTATTTAGATTAGTATTTCTTATTACTTTCAGTGACTCAGTTGTGTCTGACTCTTTGCAACCCCATGTACTGTAGCCCACCAGGCTCCTTTGCTCATGGGATTCTCCAGGCAAGAATCCTGGAGTGGGTTGCCATTTCCTTCTCCAGGTGACCTTCCCAACCCAGGGATTGAACCTGGGTCTCCTGCATTGCAGGCAGATTCTTTACCATCTGAGTTACCAGGAAAGTATTACTTTTAGTGTGGTTTTGCTATTCTTTTGAAATATGGATATGTACACCTGTTTCTGCCACATTTTTAATCTCCCATCATTGTTTATTTAATATAAACTTCTAAATATGTAGATATTAACACAGATTTTTAAAAGTAAAATCGTAGAAAATAAAGTATACTCAGATAAAAATCATTCCCTCCCTGTACCAGTACTTTGCTCCTTTGTAGGTAAGTCTTATTTATTTCTGTTTTATCTTCTCTGTGATTTATATTCTAAGAAGATCAACAATACTGTATATTTTCATATTTATCTCACTTTTAAGTAAAATTATTGGTGTAATGTATACAATGTGGTTTTTTTTCAGCCAAAAATATATTCTAGAAATCTTTCCCTATGAATACTGATATATTTATTATTTTTTAAAGATACATTGTCTGGATGTGGCATAGTTCATTCAAACAATCAACTATGCATGAGCATTTAGGGGATTTATAATATTTTTTTAAATTTATTTATTTATTTTAATTGGAGGAAAGCTACAATATTGTGATGGTTTTTGACATACATCAACATGAGTCGGCCATGGATGTATGTGTGTCCCCCCCATTCTGAACCTCCTCTCAATACCCTCCCCAACCTATCCATCTGAGTATTTGCAGAGCTCTGGCTTTGGGTACCCTGCCTCATGCATTGAACGTCTTTGGTCATCTATTTTACATATGGTAAAATACATGTTTCAGTGCTATTCTCTCAAATTATTCCACCCTCACCTTCTCCCACGGAGATCAAGAGTCTGTTCTTTATATTTGTATCTGCTTTGCTGCTCTGCACATTGGGTCATTGGTACCATTATTATAAATTCCATATATATGTATTAATATACAGTATTTGTATTTCTCTTTCTGACTTGTTTCACTCTGTATAACAGGCTACAGTTTCATCAACCTCATTAGAACTGACTCAAATGTGTTCTTTTTTATAGCTGAGTAATATTTCACTGTGTATATGTACCATGACTTCCTTATCCATTCATCTTTCAATGAATATCTAAGTTGCTTCCATGTCCTAGTTATTGTAAATAGTGCTGCAATGAACATTGGGGTACATGTGTCTCTTTCACTTCTGGTTTCCTCAAGGTGTCTGCCCAGCAGTGAGATTGCTAGGTCATATTACAGTTCTTTTTTTTTTTTTTTCATTTCTTTTTATTAGTTGGAGGCTAATTACTTACAATATTGTAGTGGTTTTTGTCATACATTGACTTGAATTAGCCATGGATTTACATGTATTCCCCATCCCGATCCCCCCTCCCACATCCCCCTCCACCCGCTCCCTCTGGGTCTTCCCAGTGCACCAGGCCTGAGCACTTGTCTTATGCATCCAACCTGGGCTGGTGATCTCTTTCACCCTAGATAACATATTTTCACAGAACTAGAACAAATAATTTCACAATTTGTATGGAAATACAAAAAAACCTCGAATAGCCAAAGTAATCTTGAGAAAGAAGAATGGAACTGGAGGAATCAACCTGCTTGACTTCAGACTATACTACAGTTCTATTCCCAGTTTTTAAAGGAATCTCCACACTGTTCTCCATAGTGGCTGTACTAGTTTGCATTCCCACCAACAGTGCAAGAGGGTTCCCTTTTCTCAGCACCCTCTCCAGCATTTATTGTTTATAGACTCTTTGATGATAGCCATTCTGACCAGCATAAGATGATACCTCATTGTGGTTCTGATTTGAATTTCTCTTGAGAAACCTGTAAACAGGTCAGGAAGCAACAGTTAGAACTGGACATGGAACAACAGACTGGTTCCAAATAGGAAAAGGAGTACATCAAGGCTGTATATTGTCACCCTGCTTATTTAACTTATATGCAGAGTACATCATGAGAAACGCTGGGCTGGAAGAAGCACAAGCTGGAATTAAGATTGCCGGGAGAAATATCAATAACCTCGGATATGCAGATGACACCACCCTTATGGCAGAAAGTGAAGAGGAACTAAAAAGCCTCTTGATGAAAGTGAAAGAGGAGAGTGAAGAAGTTGGCTTAAAGCTCAACATTCAGAAAACTAAGATCATGGCATCTGGTCCCAACACTTCATGGGAAAAGATGGGGAGACAGTGGAAACAGTGTCAGACTTTATTTTTTGGGCTCCAAAATCACTGCAGATGGTGATTGCAGCCATGAAATTAAAAGACGCTTACTTCTTGGAAGGGAAGTTATGATCATCCTAGATAGCATACTAAAAAGCAGAGACATTACTTTGCCAACAAAGGTCCGTCTAGTCAAGGCTATGGTTTTTCCAGTGGTCATGTATGGATGTGAGAGTTGGACTGTGAAGAAAGCTAAGCACTGAAAAATTGATGCCTTTGAACTGTGGTGTTGGAGAAGACTCTTGAGAGTCCCTTGGACTGCAAGAAGATCCAATCAGTCCATCCTGAAGGAGATCAGTCCTGGGTGTTCATTGGAAGGACTGATGCTGAAGCTGAAACTCCAATACTTTGGCCACCTCATGCAAAGAGTTGACTCATTGGAAAAGACCCTGATGCTTGGAGGGATTGGGGGTAGGAGGAGAAGGGGATGACAGAGGATGAGATGGCTGGATGGCATCACCGACTCGATGGTCATGAGTCTGTGTAAACTCCGGGAGTTTGTGATGGACAGGGAGGCCTGGTGTGCTGCGATTCATGGGGTCACAAAGAGTCGGACACGACTGAGTGACTAAACTGAACTGAAACGTGAGTGAAGTTGAGCATCTTTTCATGTGTTTTTTAGCCATCTGTGTGTCTTCTTTGGAGAAATGTCTGTTTAGTTCTTTTGCCAATTTTTGATTGGGTGGTTCATTTTTCTAATATTGAGCTTCATGAGCTGCTTGTATAGTCTGGAAATTAATTTTTTGTTATTTGTTTCATTTGCTATTATTTTCTCCCATTCTGAACTCATTCTACGAATCCACCATCACCTTGATACCAAAACCAAAGATGCCACGAAAAAAGAAAAAAAACAACAACAACTGCCCAGCAATATCATTGATGAACATAGATGCAAAAAATCTTCAACAAAATTCTAGCAAACAGAATCCAACAACATATTAAAAAGACTATACATCATGATCAAGTGTGCTTTATTCCAGGGATGCAAGGATTCTTCAATATTCATAAATCATTCAACATGAAACACCATATTAATAAGCTGAAAGATAAAAGCCATATGATTATCTCAATTGATGCAGATAAAGCCTTTGACAAAATTCAACACCCATTTATGACATACCAGAAAGCAGGCAGAAAAGGGACATACCTCAACATAATAAAAGCCACAAATGACAGATCCACAGCAAACATTATCCTCAATGGTGAAAAACTGAAAGCATTTCCTCTACAATCAGGAACAAGACCAGGGTATCCACTCTCACCACTACTATTCAACAAATTTCTGGAAGCCTTAGCCACAGCAATTAGAGAAAAAAAGGAAACAAAAGGAATCCAGATTGGAAAAGAAGAATCTCTTATTGTTTGCAGATGACATGATCCTCTACATAGAAAACCCTAAAGATGCCACCAGAAAATTACTAGACCTAAACAATGAATATAGTAAAGTTGCAGGATATAAAAGTAATACACAGAAATCCCTTGCATTCCTATATACTAACAATGAAAAATATAAAGAAAAACTAAGGAATGAATCCCATTCAACACTGCAATGAAAAGAATAAAATATTTAGGAATAAATTTACCTAAAGGAACAAAAGACCTGTATGCAGAGAACCATAAAACCCTGATTATATTATATGAAAAAATTAAAGATGACAAAAGTAGATGGAAAAATACACCATGTTCATGGATTGGAATAATCAATATAATGAAAATGAGTAAAAAACCCAAAGCAATCATAGA